TTATATTATATTAATTCTATTGTTATATATTATACTAAAGATAATATTGTATAATATATTATATAGTATATTATAATTATATATAACATAATATACTTATATAACTATATATAATATATATTATACATATATTATTCTATTATATAACATTATATTATAATGCCATACTAAAAGAAATAGAGAAATGACACAGACAGAAAGCTCCAAAGGAAAGGAATGGAGTGATGACAAAAGCTCCTGGCTCTCTGGGAGCCCGAGCCAGCTGCACCGTGCTTGGTCATTGAGCAGGAACACCTCCCCTGGACCAATCAAAGGTGCACCTGTTGGTGAACAACCTCTCACCACATTCCAGAGCCATTGCTGTTTTTCTTTTCCTCTGAGGCTCCTCAGCCTCTCAGGAGAAAAAAAAATCCTGGCTAAAAGGGTTTTGATAAAAATATCACGGCGACAAGGGTGCGTGGGCGGGCTCCTGGGGCTGAGGAGGGGGGCTCTGGGGACAGCAGGTGACCGTGCTGGTGTCCCCAGGTGTGCGACGAGGTCAAGGCGTACCTGCTGGCCGACATGGCCCACATCAGCGGGCTGGTGGCCGCCAAGGCCATCCCGTCGCCCTTCGAGCACGCGGACGTTGTCACCAGCACCACGCACAAGACCCTGCGTGGCGCCAGGTGAGAGCCCCGTGACACGGGGACGGGGCTGGTGTCCCCCTGGGGAGGGACAGGTGACAGCGTCTCTCGCCGCCAGGTCGGGGTTGATCTTCTACCGCAAGGGCGTGCGCTCCGTGGATAAGAAGACGGGCAAGGAGACCCTCTACGACCTGGAGGACAGGATCAACTTCTCCGTGTTCCCCTCCCTGCAGGGGGGACCCCACAACCACGCCATTGCTGCCGTGGCTGTGGCCCTCAAACAGGTGTGCCAGGGTGGGGGGCGAGGGGCAGGGGGTGCCCCCTGTGCCCTCCTGTGCTGACGGGGTGTTCCCCCTGGCAGGCCAGCTCCCCGGCTTTCCGGGAGTACTGCCAGCAGGTGCTGAGGAACGCCAAGGCCATGGCACAGGCGCTGCTGCAGCGGGGGTACACCCTGGTGTCAGGTGAGGCTCTGGCCCTGCTGCTTTGGGGACCAGGTACACCCTGGTGTCAGGTGAGGCTCTGGCCCTGCTGGTTTTGGGGACAAGGAGGGGTGAACTGTGCTGGGGACAAGGAGGGCAGAGCCATGGTGGGGGCCAGGTACACCCTGGTGTCAGGTGAGGCTCTGGCCCTGCTGGTTTTGGGGACAAGGAGGGGTGAGCGGTGGTGGGGACAAGGAGGGCAGAGCCATGGTAGGGGCCAGGTACACCCTGGTGTCAGGTGAGGCTCTGGCCCTGCTGGTTTGGGGACCAGGTACACCCTGGTGTCAGGTGAGGCTCTGGCCCTGCTGGTTTTGGGGACAAGGAAAGGTGAGGTGTGATGGGGACAAGGAGGGGAGAGCCATGGTGGGGACCATGTACACCCTGGTGTCAGGTGAGGCTCTGTCCCTGCTGGTTTTGGGGACAAGGAGGGGTTTTGGAACCATGGTGGGGACCAGGTACACCCTGGTGTCAGGTGATGCTCCAATCCTGCTGGTTTTGGGGACAAGGAAAGGTGAGGTGTGGTGGGGACAAGGTAACACTCTGGTGTCTGGTGATGCTCTGACCACACAGTTTTGGGGACAAGGAGGGGTTTTGGAACCATGGTGGGGACCAGGTACACCCTGGTGTCAGGGGATGCTCCAATCCTGCTGGTTTTGGGGACAAGGAAAGGTGAGGCGTGGAGGGGACAAGGTAACACTCTGGTGTCTGGTGATGCTCTGGCCCCACAGTTTTGGGGACGAGCCATGCCCTGGTGTCAGGTGATGCTCTGACCACACAGTTTTGGGGACAGGGAGGGGTGAGCCGTGGTGGGGACAAGTGGCCCTGCTCGGTCTCAGGGCATTAGTGGGGTGTGCAGGAGGACTGGGGGGCACATGAGGGCAGATGAGGCAGAACAGGCAGCACTGCAGAGCAGGAAAGGCGCAGCAGAGGGGTCTGGGGGTGCTCAGG